CCCAAAGTGAAAAATGGACATACACAAAAAATACTCAAGGAAATCCATATGGCCTATAAATATGTGAAAAGATGTTCAAATACACTAACAGCAGGTAATACAAATTAAAATATCAAAGATATAATTTCACTCCCAACACATTAGCAAAATTTAAAAGTATGAAAATACCAAGTAAAAGGATAGGCATACATAGGGAACTCTCATCACTCCTATATAGTCATTTTGGAGAGAAATTTGTAATGTCTGGTTAGCTAAAGATAAGCATACCGGAAAACCCAGCAATGTCATCTCTAATTATAGAGAAACTCTCATGTTTATTTTCACAAGAAGCCATGTAAAAGAACACTGTCTACAGCATTATTTTAAATAGAGAGAAAATGGAAACAACCTAAAAGTCCAATAAGGAAATCCATATAATCCTATATAATAAAAACCTAGTATGTTAAGTGTCCAGTAAACTGGTCAGCCATTCAACCAATCAAAGTGTAATATTTTAATGATATGCTAAGGCCGCTCAACAGCTTGCTATGGTGGCAGAGAGTCAACCAGTTACTATGACATGCACTGACCACAAGAAGGCAGATGCTTCAACCAGTAGGTTATCTTGCTGCTGGGGTCTGGCTGATCGGGACTAAGCAAGAAGGGCCAGACACACACTGAAGCTCTTCTGCGGCCCCTTCCCAGCTGGCCAATTTCCTGTGTCTCTCCCTGGCCCTGATCTTGCACCAGGTCTTTAGTCAATAAACTGTGATCTATTCATAAATCAGATTTCTAAAATTCAACACATATCTCAAAACAGTATTTTTTGGATAATATAACAAATAGAATTTGCTTTTTTGGCTTATTACTTCTTTCATTCAATATTACAGGGTGAGATTAATCCATACTGTTCTATACAAGTGTAGGTTATTCATTCTTATTGCCATACAGCACATGTGGGGCAGGAGGGAAGGGAATATACTTTAACTTACCTATGTTTTATGTTGATAGGCATTTGGGCTGTTTCTATTTTGGGTATATTATGAATAACTAAACCATGAATTTATAGTACATGTCTTTATAGAAAACATATATATGCATTTCTGCTGAATATGCACCTAGAAGCATTATTGCTGGGTTAATAGTATATGATGATACTTACTTTTATTACATACTGCCAGTTTTCCAACATGGTTGTACCAATTTATACTCCAATAAACAGTAACCAAGAATACCAGTTGTTCCATATCTCCTTCAACATTTAGTTTGGCTGTCTTTTTCATTTTAGCCATTTTGGTGTGTGTGTAGTGGGGACTCATAGTGGGATATGAATTTCCCTGAAATCTATAGAAGATGAACACCTTTCATTCATTTCTTGGCCATTTTGCTATGCTCTTTCATGAAGTGCCTAATTTCTGCCTACTTTTTTAAAAATTGAGTTACCGTTTTCTTATTGATTTGAAGGAGTATTAATATACTAGAGGCCAGGTGCATGAATTCGTGCACAGGTGGAGTTCCAAGGAGCAGGGGGAGTGCAATAGGTCCTCAGGGTGGGCAGCAGGACACCATTGTGGACCCAAGATCCGGATCCATTCCATTGACATTGCGTTGCTTGTTGGGAACCACCTGGTAGCGGCTTTTATATTGTTGCTTCCATGTGGAGTGTTTATGGTCCCACTACTTAAAGAATTCTGATGAAAGGTTTTATGTTCCTAAAGGAATCTGTTTAGAGATGTGTTTAAGGATAATATAACAAACAGAAAAAAGAAGAAAGAAAAAAATCACCACAGTATGGCACCCTGGCCGATGTGGCTCAGTTCTTTGAACACCATCCCATGAACCAAAAAGTTGCCTTTTAATTCCTGGTCAGGGACACATGCCCAGTTGTGCATTCAGAACTGAATATGGGAAGGAATCATTCGATGTTTTTTTCTCTCTCTCTCCCTCCCCTTTCTCTCTCTCTAAAATTAATAAAAAATACTTTTATTAAAAAACAAAACAAAGAAAATCACAGTTCTGGCTATCAAGATATTTATTAGGATTTTTATTTCTGAATAGTTGATAGGAAAATAGTTTTATAATAGCTATTTTCTGAATCTTAATTGCAGGAAACTTTAGTATGAAATTTAAGTGTCTAAACTAATAATGCTAAAAAATCAGTCATTAATTACAACCACAAACTTACTATTACAATAGGTCCTCGGGTTATGTCAGAGATCCGTTCCTACAGCATGATATAAAGCGATTGTCACCGTAAGTCAGAACCTACCTATATAAGCACTTACATCACTCACATGGAGCACATACACAGCAGTAATAAAGTGAAACAGTAAAAAAAAAAAAAAAAAAAAAAAAAAAAAATTTAAAGAAAGATAATTCCTGATCTTTACTTGTGTCAAATAAATAATAAAAAACATAAAGCACATATGGACATAAACTGAAATGACGGAACTTTTTTTTTTTTAAATAAATAAATAGCCACAAAACGACATACATCTAGTCCAATGTAACCCAAGGACTGCATGTATATGGCAGACAGTGTTCTAAACCCTCGATATACACAGTTCATTTTATTTGACAGATAGTATTATAATTCCTACTTACAAATGATTTTAAAAAACACTAATTCTATTTACTGGAAAGATACTTTAATTATAAAAGTGTCCACTATAAGGGAGGAAAAATCAGATCACAAACTTCTGAATCAATCTATTATTTTTAAGCCACTAATTAGTATTATTAACATTTTAGATTGCTTGTCTGTTTTTATAAAGCACAATCCTATGCTTTCCCAAAGTTACTCTTTTATCCAATGGAAAGAGGCAATTCACTCTTCTTCCTTTTGCTGTTATCTTCCCATTCTCTAGTACATCCTGCTCGCACTGCGGCAGCAGCCATTCCTGTTGAAATTTATGTATCTTCTATAATTGAAACTTTGTAGCCTGGAATGGAAGCCTAGGCCGGCCAGGGCTGCAGAAGCTTGGCTTCCTCTATCGCTGGGGGCAGCCCATGCCTCCCTCCTGCTCTCTGTGGCCACAGCCATCTTGGTTGGGGTTACTTTGCATACTCTCTCTGATTGGTTGGTGGGCATGGCTGTGAGTATAGAAGTGTGATGGTTAATTTGCATATTACTCATTTATTAGGTAGGATGGTTTAGAAACTAATTATTCATGACTTTGCTAAGACTGGACTAAGGCTTACCTTAAATTTTAATTATTTAATTACTAGAGATCCAGTGCACGAATTCGTGCACAGGTGGGGTTCCTCGGCCTGGCCTGTAGGGTTTGGGCTGAAATTGGCTCTCTGACATCCCGAGGGGTCCTGGATTGTTCTCGGGTGACGCATCTCAGAATCGGGCTCCCTCTTCTATGGTTTAGGGTGTGTCACCCAAGATTCTTAAATGCCAAGTCACCACACCTCAGCAGCACCTGCACTGAGCTTCTGCCTTCTGGTGTTCAGTGCGCATCATAGCTACCGGTCAGAATGTCTGCCCCCTGGTGGTCACTGCACATCAGAGCTCTCTGTCAGATGGTCACTTAGGCTTTTATATATATATATATATATATATATATATATATATATATACACACACACACACACACACACACACACACACACACACATATATAGAGAGAGAGAGAGATTTACTAAGCGCCTACCATAAACATGGCATTATTTCAGGATTTAATAAGCATTATACCAAGCCAAATAAACAAGATTGGAGATAAAGTTTTAACAAACTCACTTTAAGAGAAACTATTATAAAACTTCTGCTAATGAGTATCTTATATATTATTTACTTTTTAAACTTACAAATGTAAAAAATAAATAGAAGTTAACAGCAAAAGAAGATTTTAAAAAATTATATTTAAAATGTCTTTAAATCAGGAACCCAACATATTTCTCCTGGCATACAACTTAATGGGCTCCTGAATAGTGATCATATTAAAGCTTTTCATAAATGGCAGGATTGACTGGTTTATTCCAACACTTCAGAGGTGTCTTCTTGCACTTGGATATTCTGCCAACTGGTTCTATTTGTGAAGTAATTCATATTATACGTCCTTTAATAAGTATACTTCCCACCTTGTTTTAATAACCTATTTACTGGCTGTCTATCTCACCATTTTAAAAGAGGGCAAGGAAAGTTATCTGATTGTTTTCTATGTCCCTCTCCCCACCCCTCACGGTATCTGTAAAATGAAAGCATGAGGCACTCCCATTCCCACAGCATAAGGAAAGTGCAAGAGCAAGAGGAGCAGAGTTATGGCTATAATCAGAGCACAAGCACCTCTCTGTGTCCCTCCCCATCCAAGACACATATTGATGTGGAGTAGACACACAAACAGAAATTCCAAGGTCATGCATGCAAAACATTACCAGAACATCACAGAACTAATTGGTCCTATTTCCAAGAGATGGAAGCATTGTTTTGTCCCTATGTATCTAAGCAGCTAATTATGGCCCTTGTATGTGACCTCACTTAGAGGACACAAACGTGAGCTGCAAAACTGCTTGACACCTAGAACAGAACTAGAAAAACAACCATCCATATGTTGAACCCATAACAACAATTCCATCTAGCTCAGTATACAGTACTCATAATGATAATTTGCATAAGGGCATACTTCCTCTTAGACCCACAAAATATAAGCTCATAAATTCTTCTCTTATTCAAAGATACAAAGAACATGACCATATATTTATTGCAAATTTTTTTTTTACCTCACACACCAAACCATCATTTTTCTTTAGAGTTTAATGCACTGGCTAATACCAATGAACTTGGCAATAGTACCAAGGAAGTAATTAGGTCATTATTAATATTCAATTTTTAATTGTTATCATTAGAGGCCTTTTATAAAATAAGAATGGGGATCACAAATCAAGCTATAAAAAGGAATTATTTAATGAAAGGTGACACATTAGACACTAAATCTCCTACCTTCAAGAAGATGTATACAAATAATTGTAATATGGGGATGAATTAGGGAAGACTCACAGAGAAAACAGCATCTGAGTAAGTTTAAAGAATGAAAAATTTACTAAGAATCTATAAACTATTACAGATTATAGGGAATATACAGAATGAAGATCATGATAAAAAAATAAGAAATAATAAAAAATAAACAATGGGATAAACATAAATGAAAATTCAGGACTATTGGAGGGTTAAGTACAAAGAAGAAGAGAAACTGAAGATTTTAGGAAAGCCTCTAAGAATGTGTAAAAATTTAATATGGGGAAATAGAGGAATAACATTCAGGGGAAAAAGACCATGCAAGGAAAGAAACCGGAAACATTCAGAAAATAGTAGCCTTCTTTGGCTCAAGTTTAGAGAAAATATAGAGGAAGGACAATGAATTTTTCTTCATCTGCTAGTTATTTTCTAGTCTTTCCACTCTATTAAAATAACTCAAACTATTAATCATCAATGATTTTTTTTTTTTATCATTGTTGTAGATGAATGTGGTAAAAATATTCTAGGCCTAAGTCTTAACACAGGCCTCACAGCTCTGTTGTCACCTCTTAGGAGCCAGTTGCTATGTAAAGAAGCTTGAACTAGACTACTGACTGATGACAGATCACATGGAGAGACAGAAGCCACAGGGACAAGAAGCAAGGTACCCACAAAACAGTGAGCAGCAATGGTCAGACAAATAAATAAATAATGTTATCTTGGGTGTTCCAGCTCCAGCTAAGTCCCCAACTGAATAAAGCCAACCCACAGAATCTTGAGAAATAATAAACTTGTTTTAAACCACTAAAATTTAGGATGATTTGTTAAAAAGAAATAGGTAACCGAAGTAATTAGGTCATTATTAATATCATAAGAACAAGTAGAGATTGTCCCTCTCCCTTCCTCTCTGAAATCAATAAAAATCTATTAAAAAAATAAATAAAATTTAATAATAAATTTTTTAACCCTACAACTTAAATGATTACAAAGAGGTCAACAAAAAAATCCCTGAGAAAGTAGAGGGAATGGAACAATAAAGGTTAAAGCAGAAGAAAAAAAAATAGAGGCTAAAAAATATATACAAAATTAAGTGAAACCAAGAGCTGGTTCTTTGAAAAGATAAAAAAGATTGATAAACCATTAACCAGATTCATCAAGAAACAAAGAGAGAGAATCCAAATAATTAAAATCAGAAACAAAAACAGAGAAGTAACAACTGACACCATAGAAATACAAAGGGTTATAAGAAAATACTACGAACAATTATATATATGCCAACAAGCAGGATAATGTAGATGAAATAGATAAATTCCCCCAAAAAATATGATCTCCCAAAACTAAATCAAGGAGAATGAGAAAACTTGAATAGGCGAATAACTGCTGATGAAATAGAAGCAATAATCAAAAACTCCCAGCAAACAAAAGCCCTGGCCCAGAAGGCTTCACAGGAGAGTTTTACTAAACCTTCAACTAGCAACTAATACCTATCTTCCTCAAACTATTGCAAAAAATCCCAGAGAAACAAACACTTTCAACCTGTTTTTATGAGGCCAGTATTATCCTAATTCCAAAACTAGATAAAGATACTCCAAAGAAAGAGAATTATAGGCCAATATACTGATGAACACAGATACTAAAATCCTCAACAAAATATTAGCCAATTGCATCCAGCTATATATTAAAAATATTATACACTGTGACCAAGTGAGATCTGTTCCAGAGATGCTAGGCTGGTACAATATTTGCAAATCAATAAATGTGATACATCACATAAACAAAACAAAGGATAAATATCACATGATTATATCAATAGATGCAGAAAAAGCACAACTAAATCCAACACCCTTTTTGATAAAAACTCTGAGCAAAGTGGGAATAGAGGAAGCATATCTCAACATCATCCTATCTAATAAAAGGGAATGTGCTAATTGACCATCATGCCCTCACAAGAAGGCAGTGCCCACAGCCAATAAAGAGGGAATATGCTAATTAACTGCAATGGCCTCACAAGATGATGGCGTCCACAGTCACAAGATGGCAGTGCCCAGTCCCCTCAGCCCCAAAGGGGAGGGCAGTTGGAGGTGATCGGGCTGGCAGGGGAGGGCAGTTGGGGATGATCATGCCGGCAGGGGAGCAATTAGGCATCAATCAGGCCGTCAGGCGAGCATTTAGGGGGCTATCAGGGTGACAGGCAGAGTGGTTAGGGGCAATCAGGCAAGCAGGCAGGAAGGCAAGTAGTTAGGAGCCAGCAGTGGGATCAGGCCTAAACTGGTAGTCAGACATCCCCTGAGGGAACGTTCTAGATTGGAGAGGGTGCAGGCTGGGCTGAGGGACTTACCCCCAACCCCTACCACACGAATTTCTTACTTCGTACATCAGGCCCCTAGTAAAGGCCATATCTGACAAATCTACAGCTAATATCATACTTAATGGGCAAAAACTAAAACCATTTCCCCTAAAACAGGAACAAGACAGGGAGGTTTGCTTTTATCACTCTTATTCAACATAGTACTGGAAGTCCTAGCCACAGTGATCAGACAAAAATAAAAGGCATCCAAATTGGAAAGGCGGAAGTAAAGTCATGATGACATGACTTTATATACAGATGACATGATATTATACATGATATTATACATAGAAAACCCTAACACCACCAAAAAGCTACTAAAGTTAATAAATGAGTTCAGCAATGGAGCAGAATACAAAATTAACACCCAGAAATCATTGGCATTTTTATACACAAATAATGAACTCACATAAAGAGAAATTAAACAAACAATCCCATTTATCATTGCAACAAAAAAATTAAGATACTTAGGAAAAAACTTAACCAAGGAGGTAAAAGACTTGTACTCAGAAAACTACATGACATTGAGACAGAGGACGATATAAATAAGTGGAAGAATATATAGTGTTCATGGATTGGTAAAATTAACATTATTAAAATGTCCATACCACCCAAAGCAGCCTACAGAGTCAATGCAATTCCTATTGAAATATCAATGGCGCATTTCGCAGATCTAGAACAAATACTCCAAAAATTTATATGGAACCAAAAAAGACCCCAAATAGCCACAGCAATCTTGAGAAAGAAGAACAAAGTTGGAGGGATCACAATATCAGTATATCAAGTTATACTACAAAGCAGCTATGCTCAAAAAAGCCTGGTACTGGCACAAGTACAGGCATAATTTTTAAAGTCTAAAAAAATTCAAGTGTAGAGCAACTAGAACTCATATATTTCTGGTGAGAATGTAAAATAAAATAGTACAGCCATTTTAGTAAATAGTATGGCAGTTTCATATAAAGTTAGATATACACTTATTCTATGAATCATCAACTGTGCCCCTAGATAAATACTCAAAAGAAATGAAAGCATATTTCCACAAAAGGACTTGTATACCAATGTACACAGTGGCTTTATTCATAATGATAAAAAAAAAAAAAGTGTATGTGTGTGTGTAGGGGGGGAGGTAGGGGGAGGAGGGGGAGAGGGGAAGAGACAAAATGTTCTAACTGGTGAATGGATAAGCAAATTGTAGCCATAAATGGAATACTATTCAACAATAAAAAGAAACTACTGATATATGCAACAATATGGATGAACCTCAAAAACATTATGCTAAGTGAAAGAAGCCAGACACAAAAGACTAACAGCCAAAACCGGTTTGGCTCAGTAGATAGAGTGTTGGCCTGCACACTGAAAAGGTCCCAGGCTCGATTCCAGTCAAGGGCATGTACCTTGGTTGCGGGCACATCCTCAGTGGGGAGTGTGCAGGAGGCAGCTGATCAATGACTCTCTGTCATCGATGTTTCTAACTCTCTATCCCTCTCTCTTCTCTGTAAAAAATAAATAAATATATTTTAAAAAACACAAAAAAACAAAAATTAGCATACTATATAATTCCCATTTACATGAAATTCTAGAAAAGTGAAAACTACACACACACACACACACACACACACACACAGAATTAGAGAATCACAAATCAAGTGATTCCAGGGTACAGTGATATACCAAAGGGTCAAAAGAAAACTTTTTACAATGACATATCCTATATAATAAAAGCTTAATATGCTAAGTGTCCGGTCATCCATTCAACCAATCAAACCATAATATGCTAATGATATGCTAAGGCAGTTCAACCACTCGCTAAGACATGCACTAACCACCATGAGGCAGATGCTCTGACCTATAGATTAGTTTGCTGCTGGGATCCAGCAGATCAGGTTGAACATACCCTGGAGCCCTCCCACAACCCCATCCCGCTGGCCAACCTCCCACGTCCCTCCCTGGGCTCAATCATGCACCGGTAGGGGTCGCTCAGCCTGGCCTCACAATCCAGGACCCCTCGGAGGATGTCAGAGAGCCAGTTTCAGCCCAATCCTGCAGGCCAGGCCGAGAGACCTCATGGCGCAAAAATTCAGGCCTCTAGTATTTGATATCATTACTAGAGGCCGAGTGTACAAAAATTCCTGCACTGGAGGGGGGCTCCTCAGTCTGGCCTGCTCCCTTTCACAGTCCTGGAGCTATCAGGGATTTCCTACTGACAGCTTAGGTCCGCTCCCCGAAGGGAGCAGGTCTAAGCCACAATCTGAACTCCCTCTGTGGGAGGTGACCAAGATGAACAGGGAAGCCGCCGCCCTCATCATCCCGCTGCTGCTGCTACTGCCACTGCCAACTGCAGGGGTTGCAAAACCTGAGCCCTGGGCTTTGCAACTGCCTGAGCCCATGGCTGCCGTGAGCCCACAGCTGCTGTGAGCCCCAGGCCTCAAAGCTGCCAGAGCTCACAGCTGCCAGGGATCACGACTACCTGAGGCCCAGGCCTCACAGCTTCCAGGGCTCACGGCTGCCTGAACCCATGGCTGCCATGAGCCTGGGCCTTAGCTGCCTGAGCCCAGAGCTGACATGAGCCCCAGCCCTCGCAGCTGCAGAGAGCACAGTGCCTCTGTGCTCTGGAGTACCGGCCCCCCTGCCCGTGTCCACTCTGAGATAACCATGCCAGCTTGGGCAGGCTCCCCTGCCTCTGTCTCCATCTCTGCTCTGGGCCTCACCTGCACGCACAACCTCCTCCTGTTCGGGTATGACCTGTCACTGAGTCCTGGCCTAATCTCTTTATATAGAGATTGTGCTGTTAATACCATATTGCTTTTATTTGTCAAAACTCATCAATTTTTGCCGAAACCGGTTTGGCTCAATGGATAGAGCATCGGCCTGCGGACTGAAAGGTCCCGGGTTCGATTCCGGTCAAGGGCATGTACCTTGGTTGCGGGCACATCCCCAGTAGGGGGTGTACAAGAGGCAGCTGATCAATGTCTCTCTCTCATCGATGTTTCTAACTCTATCCCTCTCTCTTCCTCTTTGTAAAAAGTCAATAAAATATATATTTTAAAAAATACAAAAAAAATTCATCAACTTTATACTTGAAATTGCTATATCTTATTGTATATAAATTATAGCTAAATAAATGAAAAAATAAAAACAAAGCAAATACAAACTAATGCAAATTTTGAGTACTTATACTTAGTGACAAAGAAAATGGGGGAAGAAAGAAAAGGTTCTGGAATACATATGCCATTTAATATGGAGTCTGGTGCCATAAACTATTACCATGTTGCCTCTGTCTCCTTTCTAAGAGTAGCTCTGTAAAGATCCAGATGAGAATACACATTCTCAATCTTTCCATGGGACACAAAAGATATGCATATGCACACACATACACACACTCCATTGGGAATACTAAACTTAAGTCTTGGGAAAGTAATCAACTATGTATCCTGATCTCTCCCACTTAAGACAACAGAAAAGGGAAACAGCAGAGTAGCTTCATTATAAAGGACTACAAACCCAGGGTGCGAAATCACCCGGCCTTGCCGTGCTAGCAGTCTCACCCACCCGAGTGCGACACACTCACCGCCCTACCGAGCTCACAGCCCCATCCACCTGCACGTGCCCCACCCCATCATGTTCACAGCCCTGCCCACATGCACCAGTCTTTGGTCCTTACAGCGTTAGGGCCATGTGATAAATGGATGGATGGATGAAGATATATTGAAAATACTTTACTTGCCTGCCCTTCTATTCTTTACTCCTTCCCACAGGCTGAAATTCAGTTGTAGTGTTAACTAGGATGTGTTGTAAAACTAATATTAACCATGCAGATAAAAGCAAAGACAGAGCAAGAAAGTAGAAGGAACTTGAAGACCCAGACAATAACTTAGAGCAGATGCAGTCTTTGATGTGAGAGAAAAAGAAACTATCTTTTTAAAGCTAGTATTACTTTTGTCCTAACTATAGCAGCTGAACAATATCCTAAAAAGATACCATGCCACCTTTCACAATCCTTGAAGGTTCAACTAGATGCCTGTGAATTTGTTTTGCAGAAAATCTGTATTCAAAGAGGCACCGTATGTGCATTAAAGGCAGGGAAGCACATATTCCAATCAAATTAATGCTAAATGCATTGTAATTTTATAAATGGAAAGCTGGCATCTCCAGGATCAAGTCTCACCGAATTACTCAGATTTGACAGGATAATGTAGATGAAAAAGCTTCAAATAAAATTTTAACATTTTTTAAAAAAACCCTCACCCATTTTTTTTTTTTTTCAGAGTGGAAGGAGAGAGGAGCAAGAGATAGGGCAAGAGCAAGGGAGAAAGAGACAAATATCGATGTGAGAGATACATCAATTGATTGCCTCTTGCACACACCCTGACCCGGGCTGGGCCAGGCCAGGAATTGAGCCTGCAACTGAGGTCCTTGAGCTGAGGCTCTAAACACTAAGGGCAAATTTTAACATTTTCAGTGAAATTGTGTGTATTTTTAAATCTCCTTCCTCAGATATCATACGGCTTTAGCTCTTGCTCATAACAAATATAACAACAAACAAAATCATATAACTAGTATTGGGTCTTTATAGATGCATTTCAGTTTCTTCCTTCTCAATAGATTTAAGAATAGTTCTAAGACTCAAGATTTAGTCCTTCAACTTCCTGCATCTCCCTAAGGTTTTCAATAGCATAATCCTCAGCTATTTTTCTGGTTATTTTAAAACAAAACACCACAGTTTAAAATCCAAAGATATGCAAGAAATCTGCCTATCCTAGAATCTGCTGCTTGGGTTTAGAGAAAAACCAATTCACTTTCTTATATAGCACCTTTATATTTCTGTTTAGTATAAAAGTGTTAAAATTAATTTTTAAAAAAAGGAATTAATTTAAAAAAAAAAAAGGTAGGTGCTGAATGACAAAAAATTGTTCACTTTAAAATGATTACTATGTGATGTGAATTTCACTTCAAAAAATATATATGCAAACCTTAACAAAAGCAAAGTCCTTTACCAATCATTAAGGAAAAATCCAAGAACAAAGATGAAGTAGGAGACAAAAGATAAATGATGATGATAGTGGATCAATTCAGAATCTCATATCCAGAAAGAAAAAACAGAGACATAGAAGGGGAAAAAATTGTCAAAGAAATAATAACATTTCTAAAACTTAAAAGATATGAGTTTTTACTGCAC